ATTATTGGTGTGTGAACACGAGATGCTTACATTGAGTCATGGCGCCATCATGTGGTTCAGGGCTACATTTGACAGTGACGTGTGATTGACCTGAAGGCATTGAGGTTGGAAGCAGGACATTTCCGTTTCCCGCCTTTGACTTTGTCTGGAACAAGGCAGTAACAATTCTCCGGTAGTGACAACAGCATTAACATTCAATTCAAATAGCTCACACAGAAGAAAGCACAGGAAAAGAGGTATGTGTCTCGACTCATTCCTACATTTTGACACGTCTTTCTCTATGGCAAAACAAACCTAATAGAACCCCAAAAAGTGTATGTTGCTCACATTTTTAGTGACCTTACTTGGAAACCCAAAAGCACAAAGTAGGTTTTAAAAGCAGAAAAGACAACATCTCAAAGAGCGTGCAGTTTAAAAGCATCAAACAGCAAGTGATCAGCGGTGGTTTAGGTAAAATTGCACAACACAATGTGTCTTTGGGTCGCTAATCTTTGGTCAAACATAACGGACACCAAATAGGTTAAACTGTTGTCAAACATATTTCTCGTTCACAGCCATGAGACGCCCAAATGAGTGTTTGCTGTGCTTATCATAGCAATCCAAAATTCTGTGGTGTGTACTTCAGTGTTTGGGATTAACAACCGTATTTACTAGCATGTGTGATTCTCAAACTGTCTTGTACCTACAACAACAGAGGAGTGCCTTGTGCCTATAATGTATTCAAAGTCAGTCCCCTTCTACGTAGAGCAAATATTGCTTGTAACCATAGGATCAGAAAATGATAGTCAATAGACTATAAAAGGATTTCAAGGATTTCAGATTTTTTTAGGGACTGTTCATGTATGTGCTCAAGAACTCTTCGGTTCCGTCCACGCCCCATCCCTCCCTCATTGGTCTATTTCCTAAATACTGTTTTGTCTCTCTCTCTCTCTCTCACTACACAATACCACCATTTTACATAACCTGAGAGAGGTTGACAGCCCTAAGCGCACACCTCATGCTAACCCCTTTCAGTGATGTGATAGACTACTCCACTGCCATTTCAGTCCTACTCAACCCTCAAAATTTGGTTGTGACTCCTGAAAATCTGTCAATCACTATTGTTACATAATGTGGCTGTCATTCTTTAATAACAGATCTGCGCATGAACAAAACCTTATTTAGCACTCAGTAGGACTGACAACAGTATTCTGTTGTTGTGTGAACGTTTACTATGTGTTTGTAGATCTCCGCCACTTTATTAAAGATATATATAAAAAAAGAAAACTCTTATATTGTCTGCATGCATATCTGTATAATCACACAAAGATGTTCAAGGCATTACAAGACAAACTATATAATACTAAACCACATCTCTCCTTGGAAAAACTACTGCAAAATACTTTTGAAGATCATTTATTTTTATCATGGAAGTGAAAATCGTTACTTCTGTTCGTTTACTAGAACAATTTGAAATAAACAGTTGTTTAAAGGCATTGGAAATTTAGGAGGGCGAAACCGTTATGAGGAAGCATGAGTATTATGAGATAACTACAAATCTGTTCGGAAATGACAATTATTGACGATGACAAACTACTTTTAAAAGATACTTTGGTCCTAATCTAGGCAATGGTTTCTCTAGTTAATCTCTAATCTAATTAACTGCTGCAGATAAATGATGAAAATAATGATGAGGAATCCAGTGCATAAATAATGAAATATTTGTTTAGCTTTATCCTCTTAAAAATGCATTCAAACAATGATGAAATTAGCTGCCTCTGTTCAAGGAGGTTTGTACTGAGACAGTGAGAGACAGACAGTTTCTGCAATTGCGTAGCCCTATTCCCCCTTTTTCAGAGACAAAAACTGAAAAAAAAAAAAAAAAAAAATCAGATCAGAACCAGAACACCGCACAACATCAGATAATTCCTATACAGTGGGGAACATATTTATTTGATCCCCCTGCTGATCTTGAAAGTTTGCCCACTTACAAAGAAATTAAGGGTCTGTCATTTTTATGGCAGGTTTATTTTAACGGATAGAGACAAAATGTCAACCAAAAAATCCAGAAAAAACACATTATATAAAGGTTAGAAATGTATTTGCATTTCAGTGAGTGAAATAAGTATTTGATCCCCTACCAACCAGCAAGAGTTCTGGCTCCCACACATTGGTTATGTGCCCATGTGGAACACAGATCAGTCCTGTCACTTTAAGAAGTTACTCCTAATGTCAGCTTGTTAGGTGTATAAGACACCTGTCCACACAATCTTTCCATTCTAACCTCTCCCACCAGCATGGGCAAGACCAAAGATGTCAGAGACAAGATTGCAGATCTGCACAAGGCTTGAATTGGCTACAAGACCATCAGCAAGAAGCTTGGTGAGAAGGAGACAACTGTTGGTGCGATTATCCGGAAATGGAAGAAATACAAAATAACCATCAATCGGCTTTGGTCTGGAGCTCCGTGCAAGATCTTGCCTCATGGGGTAAGGATGATCATGAGAAAGGTGAGGGATCAGCCTCGAACTACATGGGAGGAGCTTGTTAATGATCTTAAGGCAGTTGGGACCACAGTCACCAAGCAAAATATTGGTAATACACTACACTGCAATGGACTGAAATCCTGCAGCGCCCGCAAAGTCCCCCTGCTCAAGAAGGCACATGTACAGGCCCATTTAAAGTTTGCCAAAGAACATCTAAATGATTCAGAGAAGGCTTGGGAGAAAGTGCTGTGGTCAGATGAGACCAAAATTGAGCTCTTTGGCATTAACTCGACTCGCAGTGTTTGGAGGGAGAGAAATGTTGACTACGACCCAAGAACACCATCCCTACAGTCAAGCACGGAGGTGGAAACATTATGCTTTGGGGCTGTTTTCCTGCTAAAGGAACAGGATGACTTCACCACATTGAGGGGCAAATGAATGGGGCCATGTACTGTAAAATATTGGACGAGAACCTCCTTCCCTCAGCGAGAACACTGAAGATGGGTCATGGATGGGTCTTCCAGCATGACAATGACTCGGAACCGCAGAGGCAACAAAGGAGTGGCTCAAGAAGAAGCACATTAAGGTCATGGAGTGGCCTAGCCAGTCTCCAGACCTCAATCCTATAGAAAATCTGTGGAGGGAGCTGAAACTTCGAGTGGCCAAATGACAGCCAAGAAACCTTAAGGATTTAGAGAGGATCTGTAAAGAGGAGAGGATCAAAATCCCTCCTGAGATGTGTGCAAACCTGGTGACCAACTACAAAAAAGTCTTACTTCTGTGCTTGCCAACAAGGGTTTCTGCACCAAGTACTAAGTCATGTTTTGCTTGGGGATCAAGTACTTATTTTACTCAATGAAATGCAAATCAATTTCTAACCTTTATATAATGTGTTTTTCTGGATTTTTTAAAATTGGTATTCTGTCTCAATACGTTAAAATAAACCTACCATAAAAATTGCAGACCCTTAATTTCTTTGTAAGTGGGCAAACTTACAAAATCAGCAGGGGATCAAATACATATTTTCCCCACTGTATACTTCCATGACCCAATATTATTGGGGATCCAATCTTGGGGTTTAAGTGGCTGTTTCAGGTATTGCAGATTGTATTGTATAAGGAAATGATCCCAGTGAGCTGTAATAAAAAAAAGGCTGCTACAAAGGTGCAAGGCATCAAAGTCAGCTTGACAGTATAACTTCTGCTACGGAACATTTATTGCAACATTATTGTGAGAACTGACAAAATAAAATAAAATAAATAATTGCAAAACCATCTATATGACCCTAGTATAAATTTGAGTTCTGCTGGCCTTACACTCCTGAGGCTTAACAAGAGCTTAACACACTCAAACCGGTTAACTGAGATTACTGAATCAGGGCCTGCCTACAACAAGACTTACACCTCTACAAGCTTGATCTGCCCTCTGATAAATCACTAAAGAGGTATCGTTCGGATGTCACAGCAAAGAGTGTTTGTGGTTTTTATAAAGGCGTAATTGCAAAGAAATGGCTTTTTCTAAGTACCCCGTTTTTTCCTTCACTAGATGGAAAGTATGTTGTGCATGATTTCAGTAATCCATCGACTGAATTTCAGATGGATTCCACAGAAAGAAAAGACAGATGGATGAACCATATACTGATAAAAACACCATCACAATTTTAAGTGGTAGTTCAACTGAAACATCGAAAACACAAGTTCACGTCCTTGTCCTCGGGCAAACTGTATCTTCATCAAGTTGCATCTGTTGCAACTGCCAATGCCAAGCTACTGTATAGTCTGAAGGGGTGTTGGTGAATTAGTTGTAAATGTACCTTTCCTTAGTAAATCTCTATCATGTGCCTCATTGATAGACACTTACTGTAAATCAGATTTTTGGAAGGGGTAAAGTGAAGTGACCAGTATATCTGATTCAAAAAGTCTCCATTTCAAACAGTCTATGGTGCCATTAGCTAAAAGCCCTGAGCAGTCTCAAGCAAAATTACTCTTGAGGAAGACCAGTTTGTTCATCTCCTCCGCAGTGACCTGCTGCTTTCTCTTCATAGCTAAGGTCTGCTCGCAGATGCTCATGCACTCTCCATGCACAGCTACAGCCGGTACAGCCAGCAACCACAGCGCTAACCTCGACAGCCTGGGGTATCTGTCCATCACTGAACTCCAGTACTGCAACAGGTCACCTGTGCCATTGAAAAGTGGTTCGCCGAGGTACTGGAACAACTCTTTTCGTACCTGTGGCTCTTCAGCATCACACGATGGCCTTTCCAATCCACAGTCCAGGCGGCCACGCTTGGGTGCTGACGGTCCTTCACTATCCCGCTCGTCCACAGACGTACCCCCAGAACCACCGCTTCCGGCTTCCCTCATATTAGCAGCCATGTCACACACCCTTGAGATAATGTCCTCGTGCTGGTACGCAGGGACTGGCCGCAGCTTCAGCTGTGGATCCAGGATCATTGCGACTTGATGGACACGTTCCACTTTGAAGTTCTCCTTCAGGGCTTCCAGGAAGTAGTGGCAAAGCTTACTGCCAGCACCCGCTTCACCGGCTTTGGAGGTAAAAAGTTTTTCGAGACGGAGGTAGACGGGAAGGACATGTTGGAGCGTGGGGCAGTGTTCCACACTCAGCTCCTGTGCTGCCTGTCTTAGCGGTGCAAGCAAACATGCAAGCGTGCCAAGCAGGTGCTTGTTCAGGCCTTGCAAGAGCGGCACAGTGCTCTTCGAACGGCCATACGCTTCACAAGTGGCCTCAAAGTTCTCGTGAACCTTGAGTAAGGCCTCTGCAACTGCATCCCAGCAGGGCGGTGCGGCAGGCTCTTCCGCAGCTTTCCCTTCATGACTGAAGCTGGTCGTCGCAGCAATGTCACAACAGGTAGCTAGAAGCTCTCCTAGTTCATGGAGCCCCCGTGCTTGCAAGCTGCGGCGACCGAGAACAGCCTGAACCGTGGCTGTTAGAGAGCAACCTGCGCAACGAAGGCCAATTCCGGTGCGACCGCAAAAGGCTAATGAAGACAAGCGTGGCTCTGTCACGTAGACTGTTTGGATTTCTGACATGACAAACTCTGACAGAACATTCTGGACCCAGTGGTGTATCTGGTCAGGACTCTCCCTTAAAGAGGCCTCCTTGAGTCCCAGCACATAGCGTCGGAGTCGCACTCCCTCTACTTGATACGCTGTCAGCAAATAGCAGGAGTCTGGTCCTATAGTCTGGGAATGGCAGGTCACTGCAATACCCAAGGAAGAGTTGGACCCCAGGGCGCAGGTAACTTTCACTTTGACCTGATTGTACATACGGGGGAGCTGTTTTAATGCCAGCGAGCTCATATCTCCGAGGGCTTCACGAATGGAGTAGGCCCCATTACGTGAACCTGTGTCCACCAGGGTCTGCGCAAGCTTCAGGAAGTCTTTGCTGCTGAGGATGCCAAGAAGGCCGAGGTCTACGCACATTACTCTCAGCAAACGTTCAGCCACTTGTTGTCTCTCCTTTTCTGGAAGTAATCTGTTCTCTGCAAAAGCAGAATGAGACACATAAATTAGGCTAAGTTATCTTTACGAGTTAACTGTCTCAACAACTGCAACCCATCATATAATCAAAACCAAAAATATAGTTAAAAATTGCTGAGACGCATACAAGTATGGCACTTTTTCATTTTATGAATCTGTAAATAAAACTCAAGAAGTGCATGCTGTGGATTAATCTGAGCCATCCCTGATTCCCAAATAAATGTAGAAAATCAGCAAGAACATCTGCGTTAATTTACTTTGTAACAAATATTAACTTTGAAAATTGAGCAACCATAACAAAGTTACTAACAACAGCAGTCGAAAAACATAGTAACTGGTTAGCTTTAATAGCTTTAATTTACTGGCCCAAGCAAATAATACACTTAATTGAGTGTGTCGTGAATCAAGTGTGAATGGATTCTGGTAATGCTGGTAGGAAAGAACTCACGAAAAGACGGTACGTGGTTCCTCTGATGTGTCGGCTGAGGAGATTTCCACATCTGCTCCTGTGTAGCCACAGGCGCTTGGCAAGGCTTCGGAGAGTCATCTTTAACATGGTTCTCATTATCAGCTAAAAGGGGATTAAAACAGAAGGAAGAAAGGAAACACATTATGTACTCATTCTTGGGAAAAGCATAGGTATTCAATGAAAACCAATAAGAGAAACTCATTGAGGGGTGAAAACAACTTACAAATGAGAATGATCAATTGATCAAGTTCCACACAGAATTAACAATTTTCAGATTTTCTGAGATGATTTTGACAGAAAATCTGTGGAATTGACCTGAGCATTCTAAAATAGCCCAAGAGGGTCCCCAATGACCAATGATTTTGCATGGCTTTTCCATTAGTTTTTGTTTGGATTTCATTTGAAAGAAACTGAACTTGCAAATTCAAGCCTGTTAAATGTTTTAGTTGTGAGCCACAATTTTGTTTTCTTTTGACTGCAGAAATTTCCAAGACTTTTGTTTGGCTTGAACCTTTTGGAGCTCGTTGACTTTCATAATATGGAGCTAAAACATTTTTTTTATATATATGTCTGTGTTCCGCTGATGAAAACATCATATGAGTTAGGCCTTTTTTTCTTTTTTTTTTCTTTTGATGACAATGGGAACCCTGATAATCAAACAGGTATGCTGGGAGTGTGAACTTGACAAAATGAATGACTCCATGCAAGCCTATGAATAAGTGATGAGTAAAGATGTTCAATTTACTGATCATACAGAGCAAAAAGCACATGCATATTATGCAGTGCTCACATAATGCAGTCTGTAAAAATGTGCCCTTTGCATAAAACTGTTACCCAAGTGGTGATGCAAAGAAATAATGTAAACAAAACAGAGTGAGTCCAAATTTGGATGAGCTCACAGCTGAAAATGTTTTCATTTTCTGGGCTCACTCACCAGCATGGGACTGCATGTGCTCCAGGAGGTTGTTGTAGAACTGGAACTGAATTCCACAGGCTCCACACGTGTAGGTTTCTGGAACACAACGTCCAGTTTCTCTCAGAACACAGAAATGTTCTCATAACAGAGCGTAACCGGCTAGCCTCACATCAGAGCACTACATACAGCTAACAGATTTAGGTCAGCGTCAGGCATTCAGGCTAAAGGTTTTTACTTAAAGGTTTTAACAAACCTGCAAGCCATGCTAATGGCACAAAATGAGCATGAGTGACGTCAGTCATGATTTACAAAAATAAATAATATGGACTATATAAAACATGAGAAGAGTGATATCAAGTGAATAATGAAAAAGGTAAAATGGATTTCCAAAATACATACTCTGAGGGCTGGGACGGGAAGAATAAGTCCGGCTGTTTGGAGTATCTGGAAGACAAATAATTAATGTTATTTTTAACCATGAGTGCACTTCCACGCAAAGCGCAACACTTTATAGTAAAGGTTTAAAAATGAATACAAAAGGCCCTAAAAAAGTATTAGAGCACTTAAAACCTACTGTATCATATTTGATATGCAAATTTCGAAGGCCTCTAAATTATCATCATGATCAAAACTTTACTGAAAAACAATGCACCCAATCTACTACATGCCTTCTGTCATCAGATTTTATACTTTTATACTATTTTAGTTTTAGTGAAGTAAAAGGCCTTTTAGTAAAGTTGTGAATATGTCCACCTTTTGATCGTGGTACATGTTTTTTTTTTTTGCTGTGAAATTTTTGGTGATTTCTATGAAGTAAGTGTAAGAATAACACTTACTGGACGGAAGCACATTAGGTTTACTTAATCTTTTTTTTCATAAAATATGATCATCAGGCTTTTGAGGAACGTTTATTTGTTAATCTCTCAATCATCATTGTATTGCACTGCATCTTACTAAGACATTATTGGGAATCACACAGTGACAACTGATATGTATATACATTTTATGTAAATAGTCTGATGCAAGTTGATCCTATTGATTTACATTACAAACTATCAAAATGTAATATTTTTGACAATATAAAATATCAATCAGCACCTGAACTAAATGTCATATTTGTGCTCATTTTGGGCTTCTGAATCAAACTTGAGTTGTTGTTTTTTTAATTTATGGAATGCGAGATACATATTCTCACTATATCATACTATATGAGCCATAAAAGCCTGATGTATCAAATATGATACTGAAAAACATATATTTTTAGATTTTTTTACGACTTTTTAGATTTCGTTTAAATGTTCAAAAAACTGTTTCATTTAAACAATTGATTTTTTTTCTGATTATCATTTTATATGTCAGGCTTTACAGGGTTAAAAATGATTGAATGTTTTTCATTGGGTACGAAATATAAAAGCAAGCGGCATCTGCAAACAAAATGATGGTAGGCCGACCTTTGTCATCCCTTCTACAGAAAAGTAGGAAGTTTTAACATTTTGATGATACATGTGTATATGTGTGTTATTTTAAATCTTCCATTTGCGGGAACAGGCTCTCATTCTTGTGATGTTTGCCGTGATTAGGGTTAGCGTTATTCTCTGCTCTAGTGCACTTATGCGTTCTGTGTGTTAAACTTCACTGCTGTGGTGGACAATTCAAGCTCATGTTTAAATAGAAGTCTCATTTTCTAGTTTGTAGGGATGCAACTTCAGTTGAAAAGATTAGACCAGTCTGCCAAATGGTGAGCTGTCCTTTCATTATTTAACACATTTATGTGTGGACTGTTTAATGAATCTGCTACAATGCAATACAGCTTTGGCAAATGAAAGTTTGCGTAACAAACTATACAGGAGCGCACAGTGAACCCTCAACCGGTTACGCAAACAGTATTACTCAATTCACAATCGAAGAGGTTACCCATTCATAAAAGGGGTCATTATAGATGTAGAAAGCATTGAAATGTACCATAGAAAACAGTAGAGCCCGACCGATATATCGTTTTGCCGATATTATCGGCCGGTATATGAGCCTGTTCCCGATATATCGGTATCGGCGAATATGCCGCCAATATGAAATTTTTTTTTACAGAACATATAATGCAGATAAAATGCTTGAAATGGTGTAATTTCTTTGTTTGTCCAGCAGAGCGCGCTCCATTGTTTGCTACTGGTGACCTGGATGAAACGCTTTTGAAGCTTAAGTCTATGGAAAACCACTGAAACTTTGAACGGCCACATCTCCGTAACGGCGCGGCGAATCCGCACCAAATTCAGGGGATCCCTTCAGCTCGAGGAACCCTCTCGAACGCGAATCGAGTGTACGTCTAGAGGCCTGCTTTCGAATGAGACCACCCCCGCGTCGATAGCCCCCGGGGTCCGGGAGTTACGGGTGGTTAAAATCCGTGAATGAATGTTCCAAGGTGAAATAAACTTTAACAGAATAAAGCTGAATGGAATTGAATTAAAGTTGAATAAACTTCAACTTTACTGTTCAGTGCACTGATGTCAGACTCATTTTGGATAATAAAGTGTATTGTTAAATGCCCTGCCTCCATTACGTATCTCTGTCACGTCATTATAAGTGTTTGAACACCACATTTGAGTGATCATTGCAAAAAAATGTGTTTATGTATATATATATTCTGTTTATGTATATACTGTATTCTATATATAGTACCAGTCAAATGTGTGGACACATGAATGGGAAAGTGTCCAAACGTTTGACTGGTACTGTACTATAATATACACAAAGAATATCGGCCAATATATCGATATCGGCCTTTTTTTACTCCCTGATATCGGTATCGGCCCCAAAAAAAACATATCGCTCGGGCTCTAGAAAACAGCCTGTTGAATTTCAGTTGGAAACACTAAATGATGACTGTTTTGAAGCAGTCAACCTTGACTAACATTATAAGAAAAATAAAGTGTTGAATATGTGCTCTTTAAGATACATTGTAAAAAATTTAGTAATCTCAAGTGTGAAGACACAGTTTAGTTTTAGCAGAGCGCATTACTATACAAAACCATTTTCCAGTAAAGACATCTATACATCCTTAAACATGATAAGAAGCAAAAGATACGCTTAATTTGAAGGGAAAACAAGTTTATTTTTTCCCGTCATTTTTGGAGGTCGGTCTGCGGAGAGATGCTGCAGAGCTTTGATTATGACAGTAAAATATCACTGTGAGCAAAGGGCAAACACTTTACGAGACTCAAATATCAAAGGTGAAAGATTTCAAAGATTTCAATGTCTCTTACCACTTGAGTTCTGGGAATTGTTGATGTCAGCACGACTGGACTGGCCTGACTGGCTAGATATTTTCCCTTCCATTTTAAGACCGTAATTTCCTTCTGCAAATGCAAAAATCAAAGCAGCTTAAATAATACATATCAGTCAAAGATAATAAATATTGAAATGCTCATTTCGTCCTTCTTAGTGCATCACTCAAAACAAAACAGGCACTTTCCATGAATAGGGAAGAAATGGGATTTTAAAACAATTTCTCTTTGATTTGGAGAAATTAAATAATGGAGAAATTAAATAAAACAAAGTGTTCCAAAAGCAGCGCTTCCTTGACCAATAATTTCATTTAAGCTTATATAATTTTATAACTCCCAAATAATTAGTGCTGGACTTCATTCATTAGAGTGGCAGATTTAATCTATATGGGTGTATCAAAAGCAAAATAGTTTAAAATCATTCTGTTTATTGGGCCAGTTGTCACTCACACCAGTAAGTGTTTATTGCTTATATATTCTTATGATTGCATGGAAAATGCTGTATGCACGTAGGTATTTTAGACCCTTGCTTTCAAGCCCAATTTGGGTACTTTATTCATGGACAGTGCCAACCAACCAAATACAACAATAGTGGTAACATATTTGAGAGTAATGATGGTGATAGGCATTTATAAGCATCACAGACAAGTGATAAATTCTTATATTGCTACATTTCTGGCAATGACTATGCCAATAGTAGAGATAGTCTGAAATGTTTCTAATGCATAAGATTAACCGCCCAACATCTCTCACTGACAATTAATCATAAGTAGCCATAATTAATCATTAAAAAAAGCATGCTTTACTGCAATCAACCATCTCACATCTCCCAGCAAAACCACGACTCTCTAGAAATTCTCATTTAGAATAATCAGTCACTTTGAAACAAACTGAAATTTAATTCTGGTAGCATCGCTACAGTCTCTCTGACCCATTTCTATATTTTCACCATACTTTAAATAGCTTTCAATGTCAAACTCCTCTGCACATCCTCAATGCAGGACTAAGAGATAAATGAGAGGAGAGAAGGACAAATATAATAAGAGAGACTTTACAGCGAACACCTCAGCAGAGCACAATAACAATTTGAGATCATGTACAATTTATTGCAGACAGATTGGGTAGTTTTACAACAGAAATTATGATCATCTTGGTAAATTAAGTTACATAGTAGTTTTGTGAACAAGCTTCCACCATCTCCATATTTAATGATTAGAGCTTCCTTTACTGTGAGTGTCTAATCTATAACTTCTACACGCCTCTATTAAGCTATGAGCAGAAAACTGCCATAAACAATACAAGACACTGGTAATGAAGTGAGAACGTACTCATTGGAGCGTGAAGAGCCACATGTTCCTGATAGGGGTTGAAGTATTTGTACTGTTTTCCACAGTACTCACACGTGTAGCTTCCCGTTTCTGCAGAACACAAAATACAGTAATAAGTCAACATGCAGTTATTGGTCAAAAACACATTACCGCTGATAAACGTAATGCTTCTGAGATTCATTTTTCCATTTGAACCATGAAGACTTATTAGTATCAGATCTCTGTTTCTTAAAGCGGTAGTTCACCAAAAATTTTACAAATTCGGTCATCATGACTCACTCTCATGTTTGTCCATACAATTCAAACCTAGATCCCATTGGAGGGAAAAAAATAATAATCTTTATAGAAATGTACTCAGGTTTGCAGTCACATGAGTTACATGACACAATTATTATTTTTCGGTGAACTATTCATTTAAGCCAGTTATTCTCATCCAAGGGGTCATTATTTAAAGAAAGACAAAATAAGCATTAAAATAAACTTAAATAATCAATATATTTCTTATTTAAATTCAACTCTTCAGCAATATTTTTTTCTCCTTTGAAGAACCAGGGTTCCCACTTTCTTGGAAAACATGGATATATGAAGTAACCCGATTTTAAAAGTGTGCTTTTTAGACCTGGAAAAGTTGTGAAAAAAAAAATAAAAACACACACACACACACACACACACACACGCACATTTTTAAAATGATTATACATTTTTGCATTTATGCTAAGCTCTTAAATATTTTAGAGTGTTCCCAATTCTGCTGAACTTAAATTCTAATAGGTAGAAATTGTGAGTAAAATAATATATATTTAAACATTATCCTTAAAAAAATTTAATAGATAGATAGAGAGAGAGAGAGAGAGAGAGAGAGAGAGAGAGAGATTAGGGCTGGGTAAAAAAATATCGATATCTCGATTATAATCGATTCTCAGTTTTACGAAACGATATCGATTCTTAAATCCCAAAAATTGATTAGTCTAGCCTGTTTTCAGTTAATGGAGGAATATTGGTGGGCACCTCCCATCCAATAAATGGCAATAAGCATTGTGCTTTGGTACTTTTAATATGAAACAAAGTCTCAGATTTCAAATTCTGTCCATTGTATTGCAGTATTCAAACAATAAATGCCGTTCTGGCGCTGTTTTGTGGAGTGATCGCTGTAGCGCCTCAGTTCAGTAAAAGCAGCAGCGCGAGGCGCACGTGAACTGATCATCTCATCCACATTAATACCAGTTTCAGCACAAAATAAACATGACTAAACATCCGAAGGCAAGTTAAAAGAAAGAGTACAACTTTACAATCCATATCCTGTCTCATGTAATCTCTCAATCAGTGTTTCAGCCGCGCAAAGACGTCAATATTACGGCTTGTAAACAATGTCACGTAACGTCACATTTACCTCAGAAAAAAACATTCGGTGACCATAAACTCATTAGTCAGCTAGAAAAATAAACTGTAGAGAGGAGCATTTTGCTAAATATATGCACCATATCATATATTTATTATAAATTTGACTGTTCTTCAAAGTTTAATTTATATTTTTTTATGATAGCCACCATTTAAATGTTTATATATATATAAAAAAATTAACTGAAGTAGAAATATTATTATGTAATTGCAACTTTTATTATAAAAAACTTAAGTGTAATTTAAGCAGTTGTATAGCCTAAACAAATCAGTCAGTTTTAACCTTCAATGTTAAACCTTAATGTAGTACCAACTGACTCTTATGTATATTTTATAGCATTAGTTAAGAGATTTTTTTTTTCGTGAGAAAATTTTGCATGTGTACCAGATATATATCTAAAATAATCGATATTGAATCGAATCGAATTGCAAGCTTGTGAATGAGAATCAAATCGAATCGTGAAACTTGTCAAAACCCAGTCCTACAATATATTATTTTCATATCAAACAATATTGGTATTCATCACAATATTAATTTGCTATTAATGGGGAAGGAAATGCTTTCCACATGTTTGTTCGATCTTGAGAATGAATGTAAACAACTTGTTTGTCCGGAATTAAACTCCACAGAGTAAGATATCTTTTAATTTGGGGCCTCATGAAATCGGTTTCATTTTCCCCTAAATGAAGTGTTTTTTTCTTTTCTGGATTCTTTGTTTTATGATTGCATATGAATTTATCATAAAAAATTGTGTCTAAAAAAATTTTACAAATTCGGTCATCATGACTCACTCTCATGTTTGTCCATACAATTCAAACCTAGATCCCATTGGAGGGAAAAAAATAATAATCTTTATAGAAATGTACTCAGGTTTGCAGTCACATGAGTTACATGACACAATTATTATTTTTCGGTGAACTATTCATTTAAGCCAGTTATTCTCATCCAAGGGGTCATTATTTAAAGAAAGACAAAATAAGCATTAAAATAAACTTAAATAATCAATATATTTCTTATTTAAATTCAACTCTTCAGCAATATTTTTTTCTCCTTTGAAGAACCAGGGTTCCCACTTTCTTGGAAAACATGGATATATGAAGTAACCCGATTTTAAAAGTGTGCTTTTTAGACCTGGAAAAGTTGTGAAAAAAAAAATAAAAACACACACACACACACACACACACACACGCACATTTTTAAAATGATTATACATTTTTGCATTTATGCTAAGCTCTTAAATATTTTAGAGTGTTCCCAATTCTGCTGAACTTAAATTCTAATAGGTAGAAATTGTGAGTAAAATAATATATATTTAAACATTATCCTTAAAAAAATTTAATAGATAGATAGAGAGAGAGAGAGAGAGAGAGAGAGAGAGAGAGAGATTAGGGCTGGGTAAAAAAATATCGATATCTCGATTATAATCGATTCTCAGTTTTACGAAACGATATCGATTCTTAAATCCCAAAAATTGATTAGTCTAGCCTGTTTTCAGTTAATGGAGGAATATTGGTGGGCACCTCCCATCCAATAAATGGCAATAAGCATTGTGCTTTGGTACTTTTAATATGAAACAAAGTCTCAGATTTCAAATTATGTCCATTGTATTGCAGTATTCAAACAATAAATGCCGTTCTGGCGCTGTTTTGTGGAGTGATCGCTGTAGCGCCTCAGTTCAGTAAAAGCAGCAGCGCGAGGCGCACGTGAACTGATCATCTCATCCACATTAATACCAGTTTCAGCACAAAATAAACATGACTAAACATCCGAAGGCAAGTTAAAAGAAAGAGTACAACTTTACAATCCATATCCTGTCTCATGTAATCTCTCAATCAGTGTTTCAGCCGCGCAAAGACGTCAATATTACGGCTTGTAAACAATGTCACGTAACGTCACATTTACCTCAGAAAAAAACATTCGGTGACCATAAACTCATTAGTCAGCTAGAAAAATAAACTGTAGAGAGGAGCATTTTGCTAAATATATGCACCATATCATATATTTATTATAAATTTGACTGTTCTTCAAAGTTTAATTTATATTTTTTTATGATAGCCACCATTTAAATGTTTATATATATATAAAAAAATTAACTGAAGTAGAAATATTATTATGTAATTGCAACTTTTATTATAAAAAACTTAAGTGTAATTTAAGCAGTTGTATAGCCTAAACAAATCAGTCAGTTTTAACCTTCAATGTTAAACCTTAATGTAGTACCAACTGACTCTTATGTATATTTTATAGCATTAGTTAAGAGATTTTTTTTTTCGTGAGAAAATTTTGCATGTGTACCAGATATATATCTAAAATAATCGATATTGAATCGAATCGAATTGCAAGCTTGTGAATGAGAATCAAATCGAATCGTGAAACTTGTCAAAACCCAGTCCTACAATATATTATTTTCATATCAAACAATATTGGTATTCATCACAATATTAATTTGCTATTAATGGGGAAGGAAATGCTTTCCACATGTTTGTTCGATCTTGAGAATGAATGTAAACAACTTGTTTGTCCGGAATTAAACTCCACAGAGTAAGATATCTTTTAATTTGGGGCCTCATGAAATCGGTTTCATTTTCCCCTAAATGAAGTGTTTTTTTCTTTTCTGGATTCTTTGTTTTATGATTGCATATGAATTTATCATAAAAAATTGTGTCTAATGAAATGAATTAATACAACTTGAAATGTAATTAAATGAAAATATAACAGCTAATTAACAACAAGACATTGCATTTCACATGCTGCACAACAAAACTGTATCATTTAAAACATGGATGAAAAAATATCTCGGTTGTATGACATTCCTAATTGAATTATTATTACCTTGAGCAATACATTTTAGTATACAATAGTAATACATTTCTATCACAATTTCTTCAAATTAAACCAGACTTTTATTTTGACGGTTTGTTGTGAATGAGTTTGACGATAGTTTTTCTCAAGTGAAATGCTGGTGAAGTGAGTCTCAGAGCAGCTCTGGAGATGAAGTTGATGTCCTCATATATTGAGATGGCAGACGCTGAAAATACCGTTAGAATCCCATGTGTTTGCATTTGCGTAGTAGACGAAAGCAAAGTCCCTATGAAGGAAAGTCTGTTCACTCGGCGGCCTTTTTTGCAACGGTTTCGAGCAGCTATTTCAGGCATCCAAGACCAAGTCCTATCTACTTGAATGGGAAAAACAGATATCTCAAAAACTGCTTGCCAAACTCACATTTAAAATACATATTTCAAATCAGCAACAAAAACTGACATCAACTGCCACATAAATGTTACTTCTTACACTCAAGTAGAGTTAAAAAAACCAACACGCATATTGCACATCTCAGGACACTGACTGATTCTGTGGCTTTTAGACTAATCAATATCGAGTAAAAATATCCAGAGATTATCATTGTATTCATAGAAATTTGATTTCAATCTTGATATAATGTTTATCGCCCAACTCCTGGATGGAGGTCCCATAATGCCAGCTTCTGACACAACATCAAAGATGAAAGAAAACCATTTTAAGAACTCTTACTTGGTCCCATTTTCGGGTAGGATTCAGTCTCCCCTTTAAGGTCTTCTACTGGTATCACATGGTCATACGGATCTGGACAACACAACAACAAGTCAGCCTTTTCATCTTAAAGCACAGTTGGAGTCTCAATCTTGTATTCAAGACAACATAAAATCACTGGTTCTCCCACTGTGGGTCTTCATAATGATTCCATGTCATTGGTGATAGCAATGTTATAAACTAGTATTTTGTCATTACATATAGTGGAACAGTATTTACAAAGAATGAGATGAGGCTTTTATGAGAAGGATTTGAGGGTATAATGTATCAATAGCTCCTCAAACACCATTTTAGAAAATTCACCTTTCATGTTTTGTAGGATCAAGATCAATCAAGAGAAAGTCTTCAGAGTGTTTTTTTTTTTTTGGTTGGGTTATTGTTCATTAGGAAGGTTTTTGGTCAAAGTACTATTGACAATGTAAAAAACATAGCTTGCTTCATATTTTTCCATTTAAATTGAGGCATTTTCTCCCCACAAATACTGTACAGAACGGGACCTGAAACTTTTTTTTTTTCCCTTTTTCAACAAATGATCAGTGCTCAAGCTTCAGAAAATGTTGACTGTCAATTGAAATGTAGTATGTTGGAGATCAAACGAAATATAAAATGCATTGAGGTTTGCGGTCTTTAAAATACAATATAAATTTTGAATTTTGCAAACCTTTGATTTTGTCAATGTCAAAAAAAATGGGACATGTATAAATACAGTAATATTTAATAGTAGTGCTGTTAAAATTAACGCGTTAACTAACGCATGCAATTATTTTCTTTTTCAGTTTAACGCGTTAAAAATATTTAACGCAATTAACACGTGGCAGAGCTAGGGTTGGCCACCCCATTCACAACTGCTGCTTCGGTCTCTTTTTTTCTTGACGAATTGCGTTTTTTTAGATGCAGAACGTCTTTACGAGCACATCAAATCAGAGACTTTTCAGACATGCACTCCAACTTCGCTTCAGTGCCAGGCGCTAGACAAACGAGTGTGGAAAATATACAGGTGACGAGGAGCTTCAGTATAACAACAGTGAACTGTGGTCAGATGAGATGTTGTCAGGCCATATGTCAGTAAAAACCAATTTTCCAGTCCTGTCAGCCGATATACTGCGCTCATAGCACGTGCTCTTCAATGAATGCACAAATGCACCGGCGCTCGCTGTAGCCTGTATTATTTCATAATAAAGTGCAAAAGAAACGACGAGCATGCAATGTCATAGTTAGGTCGTCAGTTAACTCATAAAGTTACCAAAAAGGCAATTAAAGCTGCCTTAAAATTGTGCATGTATGTAAATATTTGTTATATGTGAGTCAGATTTAAGAGCATGTCTCTTTCAAAACTGTCCTGGAACAGCCCAGCACTGTCTCCCTCATCAACACACCCGATTCAACTCGTCAGCTCATTAGCAGAGACTCTGGGTCAGAATAGATAAAGAGATGCGTGTCAGATCCACGTCATGTTCAGCAGCAGCAGCTCTTAAAGCAGCCAACATAACCTAATAACCAGCTGCTGTGATGTCTGTTCATCAAAGAACAAAAGAAAAAAGAGCAAATCAATAACTTTTGTAGCTTTAAGGATTCATCTATATTTAATTTAGAATTTTGTGTTTGATTACTTTATTCAATTTCTGTATATTTAATGTTCTACTTGCTGAAGGGCACAGGTAGCTAAATATAATATATATTATAATGGGTTTATGTGAAGTTAACGTAAATTAGAAGCTATTTTTTAAAGTCTAATAAATGTTAAAATTTATAGTTCTCAATTATACTGTAATGCTGAATGACTATAGCCAATGGTTAAATATTAGGGAAAAAATTCAGAGAGGCATCAGTAATATTGATACTTGCCTCAGTCATAAAAAAGATGCCATTAAACAAATATAAAAAATATGCTGTCGTTATGATGTTTCTACATTAATTTGAAGATTGAATGTGAAATTATTGCAAAAATAAAGTATATTTAAAAACTTAGTGTTAGATGGGATTAATTGTGATTGCAATTAATTAGTTAATATTAATCGATTGACAGCACTACTCAATGGTTAACTAGTTATAACTAAACTAAACAAAAACGTTTGCTTGATCCAAGTAATAATAATGCATTTTTTGAAATGGGTGAAAAGTGTTAACATAATATTTAAATTAGTACCCCTGTTATTAGTTTATCAACAAAAAACATTGAATTTCTGCTCATAAAATGTTAAAATAAATAATGGGAGTAAAAGAATTGCGTTTTTTTAGATGCAGAACGTCTTTACGAGCACATCAAATCAGAGACTTTTCAGACATGCACTCCAACTTCGCTTCAGTGCCAGGCGCTAGACAAACGAGTGTGGAAAATATACAGGTGACGAGGAGCTTCAGTATAACAACAGTGAACTGTGGTCAGATGAGATGTTGTCAGGCCATATGTCAGTAAAAACCAATTTTCCAGTCCTGTCAGCCGATATACTGCGCTCATAGCACGTGCTCTTCAATGAATGCACAAATGCACCGGCGCTCGCTGTAGCCTGTATTATTTCATAATAAAGTGCAAAAGAAACGACGAGCATGCAATGTCATAGTTAGGTCGTCAGTTAACTCATAAAGTTACCAAAAAGGCAATTAAAGCTGCCTTAAAATTGTGCATGTATGTAAATATTTGTTATATGTGAGTCAGATTTAAGAGCATGTCTCTTTCAAAACTGTCCTGGAACAGCCCAGCACTGTCTCCCTCATCAACACACCCGATTCAACTCGTCAGCTCATTAGCAGAGACTCTGGGTCAGAATAGATAAAGAGATGCGTGTCAGATCCACGTCATGTTCAGCAGCAGCAGCTCTTAAAGCAGCCAACATAACCTAATAACCAGCTGCTGTGATGTCTGTTCATCAAAGAACAAAAGAAAAAAGAGCAAATCAATAACTGTTGTAGCTTTAAGGATTCATCTATATTTAATTTAGAATTTTGTGTTTGATTACTTTATTCAATTTCTGTATATTTAATGTTCTACTTGCTGAAGGGCACAGGTAGCTAAATATAATATATATTATAATGGGTTTATGTGAAGTTAACGTAAATTAGAAGCTATTTTTTAAAGTCTAATAAATGTTAAAATTTATAGTTCTCAATTATACTGTAATGCTGAATGACTATAGCCAATGGTTAAATATTAGGGAAAAAATTCAGAGAGGCATCAGTAATATTGATACTTGCCTCAGTCATAAAAAAGATGCCATTAAACAAATATAAAAAATATGCTGTCGTTATGATGTTTCTACATTAATTTGAAGATTGAATGTGAAATTATTGCAAAAATAAAGTATATTTAAAAACTTAGTGTTAGATGGGATTAATTGTGATTGCAATTAATTAGTTAATATTAATCGATTGACAGCACTACTCAATGGTTAACTAGTTATAACTAAACTAAACAAAAACGTTTGCTTGATCCAAGTAATAATAATGCATTTTTTGAAATGGGTGAAAAGTGTTAACATAATATTTAAATTAGTACCCCTGTTATTAGTTTATCAACAAAAAACATTGAATTTCTGCTCATAAAATGTTAAAATAAATAATGGGAGTACCCATTTAAGTAATAAGTAATGGTACCCAAAATAAGTAATGGTACCCATTTGTACCCATTTTTGTGGAAAGTGCCTTGAAACATTACTGAGTGATTTACATGAAGATTTGTGATCGATTGAACAGCAGCCATGTGTTTACTGACACAAACAAACAAAAACTAAAAAATTAAAATCACACACAGTTTGGATGTATTACAAATCAAGGGAATACACAGCCTCACCATCAACTGCATGGAGGTCTCGGTGCTCCTGAAAACAGCTGTAGTACTTGTATTTTTTCCCACATACGTCACATGTATAGCGGAAAGAACCTGGATTAGAAAACAAAGACTTGTATGAACAGCAACTTGAGAGATCATTATCTGACGAGATGTTGGGAAGAACTCTAGTCAGCTTTTTTCCACAAAGTTTTACCCACTTAATTTAGAAAATTCCAGGTCAATTACACAAAAAATCTGCCCCATGAATAAATGCTACTCACTATTGATTCCCAGAGATGCTCCTTCTCCAGAAGCAACAGCCTCAGTCTCTGGACAGCAAGAAACCACACAAAATACAGACACATATATAAATAGCTAATGAAATATGTCAAATTTGATGATTCTGGTTATGATTTGGATTTCAGCTCCTTAATGATTCCATTCCAGTTCAGCACTTTTAAGGAAGCATTCATCACCCAATAACTAACCTACACTTCCATTCCAAAATAGAACCTATAGAAACTTTTTTCCAGCTCAGTGCTCAACCTTTAGAACATGTCAACTAAGATGTAATGTGTTGGAGATCAAACTAAACTTTGATTTTATATGAGGTTTTATATGATTTATACAAAATATAAATTTGCAAACCTCAAACTGCGTCAATATCAAAAAATGGGACATGTCTAAAAGCAGTACCATTCATAAACCATAATAAAGAAAACATTAGATTGATTCGAGTAGTAATAAAATAATGGTTTTTGAAATGTGTAAGAGGTAACAGCATTACCGTTAAAGTCATAGGAGACCAATTTGTATTCTGTTTGTGGAAAGTGCCTTGAAACACTTATTCAAGGTTCATGATCTTAGATCAAAGATTCATTAACTGACTCATACGAGTCATTTGTTTCTGAATCTGATGTTCGGTGTTGCATGTTAACCAGTCAAGACAATGCAATGGAAAGACGTGTTGTCTGTTTATTATCACCATATTCTTTCAAAGTGCTCGGTCACAACTCAGCTAAAACTATTTAATTTGCCGTTCTGAATACAAACTAGTTTATGACTCTCAACCCTACAGAACTTACAAGCATCTTATTCAGATTCAATAGGTCAAGACGTACCTGTGTGAGCTCGGACATGTGTCTGAAAGCAGTTGTAGTACTTGTACTTTTTGCCACATACTCCACAAATGTAAGAGCCTGTAAGAGAAAGGACAGAAAAAGGAAATATCAGACAAAAGCATTTCAAGTGTTAGTGAGGTGCAAAACGTGTCAACCCCCAATGGAAAGGGAGAAGGTGGAGACTTCAACTTGACAACACAGCACATGCAATGTCTTCCCCCCACCCCAACATATTAGTACATACAGATATTAGGATTGACATTTCACCACAAAATTCCTATTATTTTGTGCGGAAAAAGTAAATATATATTTGTATTCACTGAATGAATAAAACTATTACTATTAATAAAATTAATTCATCAATAAAATGTATTTAATTAATAGAATCAAGTTCATGTAATTAAAGGGGAAGGGAACCTTATCCTCACAGCACAAGCATTAAAAATTGTAAAGTTTCATCTGTTAATATTAGTTGACATGAACTAACAATGAACAATAATTCAACAGCATTTATTAATTAATGAATTAAAATTACAAACCTCAGTGCACAATTTGCCACACCACAAACTGTCAAGCACATCTTACCAGCAAACATACACTCGTTTTCATCCTTCTCTCCACTCTCTGAGGCAGAAGTCTCTAAACTAATCCTTTCCAATCATCCGACTACTTGTCCGCTTGATCCTATTCCATCTCATCTCCTTCAAGCCATTTCTCCTGCCGTTGTACCTGCACTCACTCACATCGTTAACACATCCCTTCACACTGGTGTTTTTCCCTCAACATTTAAACAGGCTCGTATAACCCCACTTCTTAAGAAACCCACTCTTAACCCAACTCATTTAGAGACCTACAGACCGGTTTCCCTTCTACGTTTCATTGCAAAAACACTTGAACAAGTTGTGTTCAACCAAGTCTCAGCCTTTCTCACACAGAACAACCTCCTGGCCAGCAACCAATCTGGCTTCAAAAGTGTACATTCAACCGAGACTGCCTTGCTTTCAGTTGTTGAAGCCCTAAGACTGGCAAGAGCAGCTTCCAAATCTTCTATACTTATTTTGCTGGATCTGTCTGCTGCTTTTGATACGGTGAACCACCAGATTCTCCTGTCAACCCTATTGGAAAATGGCATCTCAGGAACCGCACGCCAGTGGTTTGAGTCTTACCTCTCAGATAGGTCCTTCAAGGTATCTTGGAGAGGTGAGGTGTCCAAGTCGCAACATCTAGCTACTGGGGTGCCTCAGGGCTCAGTACTTGGACCATTTCTCTTCTCTGTCTACATGGCATCACTAGGTTCTGTCATTCAGAAACATGACTTTTCATATCACTGCTATGCTGATGACACTCAACTCTACCTCTCATTCCATCCTGATGATCCGA